GGACAGGCTTCTTTCACATGGGTTTAGCTACTGACTCATGGTCCACAGTGGATTGCATTGCCAGCAGTGGCTGGTCTGCCATTAGTTAGACAATCGAAAGGCAGTATGCCATCTCCAAATGATTGTTTGAAGATCCCTCTTCACTGTGCCACAACTGTATCCATTGGATATGGTTGTGGTGCAACCTCATTCACCTCTATGGGGTGCACCTACTGAACACAACATGTCCTATTTTTTGCTATAACAATGTGTATGGGGTTGTCCAGAAGCCAATGTCTGGTTTTGAAAGGTGACTAAGTTAGTTAAAAAAAAGTTTAAAATGCATCTCAAACACTTGGTTTTGCAGCTGACAGTGCCCATGTGAAAGGGCCCTATGCTTACCTTATTGATCATTCTCCTGATTCTGATACTCTATGCTGTGGGTGGGCCCTTGGCTGATTCCTGCATTGTATGTTGGAGTGCCTGCGTGCGTTGGAGCTTTGAACAGTAGTGCCTTCGAGGGACCAGCCATACAGCTGGAAGGACATCTGCAGGAGGAGAAATAAGGTAAGTACAACTGCCTTTTCTCCAGTTCCTCCTTGACAAAGACAAACATTTACCCTTGGAACAGAGAGGAATCCTCACTACAAGGGTTCATTTTTTATTCGATATTTTATCTGGTTATGGAAAATGCTATATAACTTATGGACAGTAAAAGCACACTATTATAAAAACAATCCAGATAAAACTTAGTCTGCCACAGAAAAAAAAAGTTGCCTGCAAAAGAAGACTCTTAATACTGACTTCTTTGACGGTTGGCAAGTCCTTTCTAAGTGAACATACACTATGCAAAGTGAATATGTTTTATTTCTTTAAGGTGACCCCACTGTAACAAGAAAAAAAGGAAATCTTTTGTGCAAATTATAAACAGAAAAAAATGGTGTGCTTAGTGCAAATGAAGTAATGTAGCAACCTATATTCTGGACACAAGGAAATACAAAAATAATTAATCTAAAAGGTGCAAAAAAAACAATATCTCTGTAGTGATCAATACAAAGTTATATGTGTGAAAAAATACAATTAATTCATATTAAACCTTAATAAACAATGGGGTTCATTTAATAATATTGAAGAGTGCAAAATCAGACTCATTTCTGCATAGAAATCAATTAGCTTCTAACTTCAGTTTGTTCAGTTAAGTTCTGCCAATAAAACCTGGAAGCTGAATGGTTATGATGCAGAAGTGAGTCTGATTTTGCACTCTCCAGCTTTAGTAATAAACCCCAATGTGTATCACATAAATAGTAAAATAACAATCACATAATAAATAAATAGTTTGTGCATAGCAAAAGGGGTAAATGTCATAGAAAAATACACTCACCAGCCACTTTATCAGGTACACCTGTTCAATTGCTTGGTAACACAAATTGCTAATCAGCCAATCACATGGCAGCAACTCAATGCATTTAGGCATCTAGACGTAGTGAAGACGACTTGCTAATTTTTAAACTGAACATCAGAATGGGGAATAAAGGGGATTTAAGTGATTTTGAACATGGCATGGTTGTTGGTGCCAGACGGGCTCGTCTGAGTGTTTTAGAAACTGCTGATCTATTGGGATTTTCACACACGACCATCTCTAGAGTTTACATAGAATGGTCCGAAAAAGAGAAAATATCCAGTGAGTGGGGCAGTTGTGTGGAAGGAAATGCTTTGTTAATGTCAGAAGTCAGAGGAGAATGGGCAGACTGGTTCGAGATGATAGAAAGGCAACACTAACTCATGTCAATATGGACCAATATCTCTAAGGAATGTTTCCAACACCTTGTTGAATCTATGCCATGAAGAATTAAGGCAGCTCTGAAGGCAAAAGGGGGTCCCAACCCAACACTAGCAAGATATACCTAATAAAGTGGCTGGTGAGTGTATATAAAAGTCCAAATGTGAAAACTTGAAGATGATGAGAATCCATGTGAAAGAATCCCAAACCACCTCATAAACATGCCATATTACCCTTACCAAACTGTAACAATATCCAGATGCTAAGAGATCTATAGTGCAAAAATTATCCAACGTGGGGGGGGGGGGGGCACCACTCAGGTTACCACTGACTCTACCACCTCCACTGTCCTTCACTGGTTATCTAAAGGCAGCACCTCAAACTAATAATGGGAAGGAGAACAAACAAAGGACCATAAAGTAGTATATTAAAACCATATGATCTAGTAAGTGCAGATATACTCACAAAGGTTACAGGGCAAAACACACCCCACACCAGACATCAACAGCTTCAGCGAGGCCAGTGGCATATGATGTTGTACACCCTGGTGTGGTGTGTTTTTGTCTGTGTTACTCTGTAACCTTTGTGAGCAGCCTTTGAGAAAGCCTGGAGGGGTGCAACCTGTCAGGTGGATGGTACGGTGTGACATCATCATGTTCGGCAGGGACTATGCGCCATTTTGCTGGGGTTTGTTCCAACATATGTGGAAAACATGTATACTGTGTTTTCCACATATTCTTTGTGGCTTTTCATCCTGTCAGTGCAATTTTATTCTAGTAAAAAAAAATAGGTAGTTCAGACTAGAGATTACTTTCATGATTCCTATAAATGCTGCATACTGAGAAGTGAGTGTGCTGGCTGACTATATTTTACATTAAAAGTGCTGCTTGGCCTCTTTGACACATTGATGCTAGAATATTGTTGGAGAGTTTGTAGTTTGTGGACACGAAGAATAGTTTGTGAATAGTGATCACGGATAAATTGTATTGTTGGAGAGCTTGTAGTTTGTGGACACGGAGAATAGTTTGTGAATAGTGATCACGGATAAATTATATTGTTGGAGAGCTTGTAGTTTGTGACATGGAGAATAGTTTGTGAATAGTGATCACGGATAATAAATTATATTGTTGGAGAGCTTGTAGTTTGTGGACACGGAGAATAGTTTGTGAATAGTGATCACGGATAAATTATATTGTTGGAGAGCTTGTAGTTTGTGGACACGGAGAATAGTTTTGTGAATAGTGATCACGGATAAATTGGACTGTGTATGGGACTTTCATGAACGCTGCATATGGGACTTTATTATGAATCTGATATTTATTTAATTTTTTTTTTGTAGTATATGATATTTTATGCACTGTGTTTTTAATGCTCATGCTTACATTTTTTTCATATTAAGATTACTTAAAGTATAGTAGAGCACTTCACTGCTATCAGTTAATAGCAGGCAGTTATTAGAAGATCGTGGCAGCAGCTCCGTGCTCTCCTGTTCCCCTGGAGACCTGAGAGTGCAGAAAATGGGCAAGATCCCTTCACACAGAGGCAATGGAGGAACATCATTCCCCAATCTTCTCTGTGAAGAAGCTGGAAGTGACAAGGATTTCAGAACTGTCATTGCATGGTTGTTACTTATCAACATACAGTATACAGCTCTGTGCTCCAGCAGTGGGATTGGAATTTCCCGTCCTGCTTCCGGAACACAATTGAGTTGAACTGAGCACTGCTTAGCCATTCACAGAAAGGTTTGTATTCTATGATCTAGCTCAGCCAATCAGAGGAACCTTTGTGTCATTCATAGAATACAAAACTCCTTATGAATGGCTGAGCAGCGATCAGCCTGGCTCGATTATGTTCCAGGAGCAGGATGGGAAGTTCTTGTCTGCTGTTATAAAAGTGCTGTATACTGTATGTAACTGAGGCAATTTACAGTTTATACAGTACACACAGCCACTGCAACTGTTAGTAAAGCAAATACTACAGTTCAGTGGTCTCCAAACTGCGGCCCCTGGGCAAAATGTGGCCCTTTGCTTGCCTCTATCCGGCCCTCGGGGTACTATTCCTCTCACTGACACCAACAAGAAGACACCATTTCTTCCACTGGCACCAACTATGGGGCATTTTTCCTTCCACTGACACCAATGATGGGGCACAACTCCTACCAATGATATAAACAATTAGGTACTATTCCTCCAACTAATATCAAGGATGGGGTACTATTCCTTCCTCTGATACCAATGATGGTGTACTATTCATCCCACTGACACCAATGATGGAGCACAATTCCTCCCGCTGACACTAATGATGGGGCACAATTCCTCCCCCTGACACCAATGATGGGGTCTTATTCCTCCAACTGACACCAGTGATGGGGCACTATTCCTCCTCCTTCCACCAATGATGGGGCACTATTCATCCCACTGACACCAATGATGGGGCACTATTCATCCAACTAATACCAATGATGGGGCACTATTTCTCCTAGTAATACCAATAAAGGGGCACTGTTCCTTCAAATAATACCAATGATGGGGCACTATGCCTCCTGGTAATACCAATGATGGGGCACTGTTCCTCAAAATAATACCAATGATGGGGCACTGTTCCTCTAACTAATACCAATGATGTGGCACTATTCATCCCATTGACACCAATGATGAGGCACTATTCATCCCATTGACACCAATGATGAGGCTCTATTCATCCCACTGACACCAAGGGGTTTATTTACTAAAGCTGGAGAGTCCAAAATCAGACTCCCTTCTGCATAGAAACCAATCAGCTTCCAGGTTTCATTGCCAAAGCTTCATTGAACAAGCTGAGGTTAGAAGCTGATTGGTTTCTATGCAGAAGGGAGTCTGATTGTGGACTCTCCAGCTTTAGTAAATAAACCACCAAGGATGGGGCACAATTCCTCCAGCTAATACCAATGATAGGGCACTGTTCCTCCCACTAATAGCAATGACGGGGCACTGTTCCTCCAAATAATACCAATGATGGTGCACTATTCCTACCACTGATACCAATGATGGGGCACTATTCCTCCTAGTAATACCAATGATGGGGCACTGTTCTTCCAACTAACACTAATGATGAGGCACTATTCATCCCACTGACACCAATGATGGAGCACTATTCATCTCACTGACACCAAGGATGGGGCAGTAGTCCTCCCACTGATACCAATGATAGGGCACTACTCCTACTAGTAATACCAATGATGGGGAACCAGGGGCGGACTGACCATTTGGAAACTCGGGCACTGCCCAAGGGCCCGGGGTCAGTAGGGGGCCCCATGAGATGCCCCTGGTACCTTTTTCATAGGTTTTTTTTTAGTTTGGGCAAGGACACCGGGGCCCCATGCTCCCCTATTGCCTGGGGGCCCCATGAGTTGTCAGTCCGCCCCTGTGGGGCACTGTTCCTCCAACTAATATCAGTGATGGGGCACTATTCATCCCATTGACACCAAGGATGGGGCACTGTTCCTCAAACTAATACCAATGACTTGACACTATTCCTCCTTCCACTGACTACAAGCACTATGTCTTTTTTTTTACTACTACTGATGCTGGGACATTTTCTACTCCCACTGGGCACCCCGGCCTTCCTAAAGTCTGAAGGGCAGTAAAATGGCCCTTTGTTTAGAAATTTTGAAGACCCCTGCTGTAGCTCATTATAATAAATGTTTGCTTATGGGTTTAATACTGCTCTATGTCAATCTTTTTGAGCTGTACATGTTAATCAACCCAACTACTCCATACTAATAAGGCCCAGAGGATGAAAGTGAACCATTCACAAGCCTGTGTTTCGTTTCAGAGGAGGCTGAGTAATGCTTTAGCCATTCCTCCTACACTCTATGCCCATATGGACCAGATACATTTTTTGCATTTCATCTATGGGCCTATATATTCAACAATAAATGTGTACTTACTTGTGATACCACATTGAAATATGTAAAAGAAAAAAAAAAAGAAGACCCTTGCAGTCTGCTCACTGATTGATTTTATCTAGTGCAAATAAGCATAAATTGTATTATATAATTTTTCCTATTTACTAACATCCAGTGTAATGTTCCTGATAAATGACACTGAAAAAATATTATAAATGTGATAAAGTGTAACCACATAAATGAAAGAACTAAAGAAAAAAGAAATTGCATGCAAATGGTAACTAAAAAAGGGGTAACATTATAGGTATGTTGATAGCAATAATATGTAATGCAATGCAGTCCACATTGGTTGCAAAGAGATCGAAGGGAGACCAACAGCAGTGGGATGCAAAAAAGGATGAAAAAAGGTGAAAACAGTATTTTTTTTTTTTCTTTTTTTTTTTTAACTATCGATCTTAATTAAGAATTTTTTGAGTTACCATAACAAAAAGGTATATTTATTACAGAATCGGGTAAGATCACAATGGAACATATAGTAAAGAGGTCATAACTAGCATCTTAGATATCTGAGTTACTAATATTTAGCAGATATTATGATGCTTGATATTGTGATCTACACCTGTGACAAATTCAGCTGGTGACAAAGGAAAAGGCAATAAAGCGTGGAAAGATCCAGGAATAAATTAGAAAACTATATTTTTTCAAAGATGTTTTTCAAATTATTTATAGTGCTCTGCCACACTCAATGTAATCTAGTTAAGGTTTAGATTTATTTAATATTTTTTTTTTTACTGGTATGTACTTATTAGTTCAGGAAGTTCGACAAATTATTAAGCAAACAAGCTAAGCAATTAAAAATATGTATCTAGGCAAATACATAAATGATTGGATCTTGGATACATAGTGCATATGTAAACCAGAACTGGATTGAATGACACATAAAATATTGTAAAGAACCTGTTCTTTTGCTTGTCTGGGAAATATGGTTTCATTGCTTATTGTCAGATTGTAGTCACCTTAAGGGAAATTGATGTGTGTTGACTGTTGCAAAAACATTTTGCTGATGGTTAAAACAAACAGAATATAGCTTGCCAACAGGAATATCCTGTTTTTGTGGCTGAACATTCGTTTGCAGAGTTGACTGCACAAACTATTCTCAACCTCCTGATAAGTAGCTTTGAGTTCAAAATATAGCTGCCTGGAACTCTAAACAAACACACTGTATATTGATAGGAAGATATGCCTCAAATTAGCCGTAGCGAAAGCAATCATTACTCTTTGAAGTTTATTTTGTCTCAGTGAAGTCTGGTGTTTGATTTCTCTGCAAATGACGAAAAAGGAAAATCTAGCAAACCACAATGATGTTCACAAGAACAACAGTGAGCTGAGGAATAACATCAAATCCTGAGGACACAGAATGTCATCTCATTCGATTGGGAATTTATATATTTTATTGACAGCCATCATGAATTCATAAAATTATTTGTTCATGAGAGTTGAGAAATGACACATCTACATATCATCTGTATTAAAGGTAATATTTAGGATCTGACACATAATGCCTTCCCTTCTTCCTCTCTGTCCATTGAAGCACATTGTAAAACTTTCTCTATAAAAATGTATAATGTAACAAATATAACTCTTTCTAAATTTTAGCTTTGTCATCACTTGTCTCTGTCTCTGTTCTTTGCTTACCTGCTTTTGTGGGAGAAAATCATTATATTGCTTTAGTCCGCTTTCACATGGATCAGCAAGGGATCTGTCGGTGGATCCCCTGTTGATCAGAGAAGACAAGTCTATGTGTCAAGTTTATTCAAAGCAGTTGTTTACTAGGAGAGGAGATCCTGGCAAATAGGCAGAGACTGGATGTGCTACACATGTCCTATGTACAGTGATGACCTTTTTTTGGGCACGTGTAGCATGCCCAAAGCCTGCAACTAGTTAACCGCTTTCCTGCCGCCCTATAGCAGACATACTGCTACAGGGTGGTAGGGATTTGCAAAATCAAGTATATATAAGGGATTTTGCATTTCTGCCATTGGCGGCCCCAGCTGTCCGTCACTGGGTCTGGTGATTCCCCGCTGGCACATGGCGATCACTGAGCATCACGGACAGGGAAGAGACCTGTATGTAAACAATACAGATCTCTCCCCTGTCAACTCCTGCACACTGCTTTGTGTGGCTCTGAATAGCAGTGTAAAGCACACACACAGCACACAGTCAAACAGCACACAGTTAACCCTTTGATCGCCCAAGATGTTAACCTCTTCCTGCCCAGTGTCATTAGTACAGTGTCAGTGCTTTTGATTAGCACTGATCACTGTACTGGTGTCACTGGGGATGTCAGTGACAGCTAGTCAGTTCCCCCGGAGTGTCAGAATGCGTACCACAGTCCCGTAGTCCCGCTATAAGTAGCTAATCACCACCATTACTAGTAAGAAAAAAAAATTCCAGTATATATACTGCCATTTGTAGACACTATAACTTTCATGTAAACCAATTTACACGTATTGGCATTTTTTTTTTTTAGCAAAGACATGTAGCTGAATACATTTTGGCCTATATTTATGATGAAATTTGATTTTTTTAAATTTTTTTTGCTTTTAATAGCAAAAAGTCAAAAATATTGTTTTTTTTTCTCAAAATTGGTCTTTTTTTTAATAGCACAAAAAACGCAGAGGCGATCAAATACCACCGAAAGAAATCTCTATTTGTGGGAAAAAAAGAACATATATTTCATATGAGTGCAGCGTTGCATAATAGCGCAATTTTCAGTTAATGTAACGCAGCGCCATATCGCAAAAATATGGCCTGGCCAGGAAGGGGGGTAAATCCTCTGGAGGGCAAGTGGTTAAAGGATGTAGAAAAAAAGAGAACTACTGGCAGGATCATCAGGTAATAAAACTTAGTTATGGGGGACTCAGAAAACCGAACTCCGCTATGTTAAAGTGGTAGTAAACTCCCATTGGACATTTGTAGCTACAGGTAAGCTTACAATAAAGCGGCTCGGCCATTCAAAGGGCCAGAGTCTGAAAACCTGGAAGGAAGACCAATGTGAACATGGAAGCCCTGTCAGTGGTGAGAGTGCCCCACTGGAGAGCTTCGTTTCAAGGTAAGTCTTTCAAATTTGCTAGTATGCATACTAGCACATTATGATAGTACCTTGCAGGGAGAAGTCTTTTTTTTTTATATATATCCACCACCGACTCCAATGGCAACAACCTTGACCTTGTATTCACCCACCTATGCACTCCCTGCAACCTCTCTAACACCCCTTTTCCTCTCTCTGATCACAACTTTATCACAGCTTCACACTCTCCCTGCCTCCTACCTCCCATGCCTCCAACCAGCAAACCGTTACCTATAGAAACCTCCACCACCTCAGCTCTGACCTTCTTCACTCTGCTACTGAGCGCCTCTATGATGAAATTGAACCCCTGTCCTGCCCAGAGCTGGCCACATCTGCCTAAAACAACTATCTATCATCCTCCCTGGATGCTTTTGCTCCTCTCTCTACATGCAGAACCAGACCTCACCTGTAACAACCTTGGCAAACAGATGACACCAGAAGTCTCAAGAGACGCAGCCGCACTCTTGAGCGAGCATGGCATAAAACTAAATCCCTGAAAGACTTTACCTTCTACAAATCCGCTCTTCTCAAATACAACTCCAGCCTCCACGCTGCTAAGCAAACCTACTACAACACTCTCATTAAGACCCTCTCATCAAATCCTCGCCAACTCTTCTCTACCCTTAATTCCTTACTCCACCCCCCACTGCCTCCACCCACCAACTTACTTACTGCACAGGAGATTGCCAGTCATTTCAAGAACAAGATCGACACAATTCGTGATGAGATCTCATGTGTCAAGCTTCCTCCTCTAACCAACATACCAGGCCCAACTCCACACTCAACACTCTCCTCTTTCGACCCTGTTACCACTGAGGAAGTTACCGAACTCCTTTCCAAGGCCCACTTCACCACCTGTCCCCTGGATCCTGTCCCCTCACGATTACTGCAGCCTCCTTCCCGCTCTATCCTAAACTCTCTAACCCACATCTTCAACCTCTCACTCTCCTTGGGCACCTTTCTCTCCCCACTCAAACATGCACTGATTACCCCCATTCTCAAAAAATCCTCGCTGGACCCCACCTGTTTGAATAACTTAAGACCCATCTCCCTGCTCCCATTTGCCTCCAAGCTTCTCAAGCACCTTGTTCACAACCGTATAAACTGCTACCTCACCGACAACAACCTTCTTGATCCCCGACAGTCTGGCTTCCGCCCACAACATTCCACAGAAACTGCCCTACTAAAACTCACTAATGACCTGCTAACTGCTAAAACCAATCGCCACTACTCCATACTCATTGACCTTTCTGCTGCCTTTGACACAGTCGACCACCTGCTTCTCCTCAGTAAACTCCACTCCATCGGCCTCCGTGACTCTGCTCTCTCCTGGTTCTCCTCTTACTTTTCTCAGTGCACTTTCAGTGTCACATACAACTCCTCCTCCTCCGCTCCTCTTCCTTTTTCT